CCGCTCTTCAAGGAGAGGGGGGGGGGTGCGCCAAATAGTTTTGACATTGTTTCAAAACCTGGAAAGGAAGCCCAACTCCAAAGAGTCCTTGCCCCCCCCCCCTGCCTTCAACATACCTCAAGACCATCCAAAGAGTCCTCTGCCCCCCCCTCCCCCCCTCCCTCAACATACCTCAAGACCATAGAAAGAGAGAGAGAGAGAGAGTTGTTGAGTTGTTGGCCACGGGTTTGTTTCAACGCCGTAATGCACTAACAGACAGACAGACAGACAGAAGGGCAGAAGGGAACGCACGGTCAAGGTGTGGTACAAATAATGGAATTCATGTTGCTGCCTCGGTGTTGGAGAAGTGAGGTACAGATGATGGAACTCAGGTCGGTCATCATGTATTAGAGACATTGAAGTTAGTGAGCTACAAGCAGATGAAACGTATCCATGTACCAGAATTGCATGACAGATATGTGTGGCATGACAAACATATCTATATATATATATATATGGGCTCGGACTTATCTAAGTATGCGAAGATATGGTTTATAAACTATAAGGCTAGTTTATAAACCATACTTGGAAATATTTATTCTCTTATCTCACAGGGGGCCCCCAAATCGTCACGCCCATATATATATATATGTATATCGCTAGTATGTTGGAGGCCATCGCTATCTAGTACGTTGGAAGCCATTGCTCTTAGGTTGGAGTCCTTCATATATAGATATATTCGAGGTATTTTTAGGTCCCATTTATCGTTCCTCTCAGTCTAAAGCACAGCGCACTCGAAAAGCGGCCAGGTGGTTCGAGGCCGTTGGCGAAGACCTTTCTGCCGTTTCCCTTGGGTCCAGGCAGTTCGAGCAGTATCCCGCTCCAAAGTTCAATCGGTTAGGGTATTTGGCCTGGGCATCTATGCACACTTCACTTGACTCTTGTATACTCTGGTGGATTCGGAACCTCGAAAAGCCGGTTTAAGTCTGTGGCTCTCAAACCAAACAAACTCAGCTACCGGTCCAGGCTGGGTCGTCAGGGATGGAATCGGTTTTTTCTCCCGTCAGGCTTTGCAGGTCTTGTTTCGATGAAACCTGCGAGACTGACGTTCCTTGAAATCGTGGTGAAATGATTTGTGAAAACAAAACAAGAGTTTGTCAAAGGTTTCTCCGAAACAACTTCTCAAACCAATTGTTGGAATTCTCCGTGTTGTCCACGCACTCAGTTGACAAGCGAGCATCGTTGCGTTGCCGCAAGAGTGGCCAAAAGCGCTCACGGAGGCCCCTTCTATCCGGGATCAGCACCGCGCCTTTGCGGAGTTACCAATTTGCACAAAGCGTCTGGACTGGAGGAGAAGCTTCGATTCTTCATTCAGTAAGATGCTATTTGAGATGGTTTGATCCTGTCAGCCTGCGACTGCGACCCAGAATAAGACAGCAAAGAAAGAGCCGGAGATTTGCCCGTCGGTGTTTGTTGCTTGTATGTTACAATGTTGCATGACATGCCCTGAACAGGAGGCCCGGGAGGAAGTGGAGCGGCACAAGGCAGAGGTACGCGTCCTACTCACAAAGAAACAAACCGCAAGAGAAAGAAGGCTTCATTTTGTAGAGACCAAGGCTTTGCATGGATTTCTACTTGATACTAGTAACAAGAAGCTACTAGGTGGAGGCCATCGCTACTAGTAAGAAGAATATCTTTGTTTTCAATTTATTTTCATGTATTTTCACCTTACGTAATCTCTTGGCCAGGCATCTGGGCTAAGTCCCAGCAGCATTGACACGCGACAGGACACGATCAGCGGGAGGTCCGCGGGCCGGAGCCGGGCGAAACGCTTGCGGCGATGAGTTAGTTGGAGGGTTGGTACGCTTACACATATTACACCTACACCTTGCAAGAGCTCCAGGGGACATGAACAATGCCGAATTGATGCAAGTTCCTCATCTTTGCGCTGGCCAAAAAAGCAATATTAAAATGTGGGTATGACTATCCTCTTTACGGCCATCCGGTGGTGCCAACAGGATTTTGTCAATGACAATGACAAATGACGTATCTATAAGAAAACAACATGTTCATGCAAAACAATGCCACAAACATGGCGTGATTCATGAAAATGACATGGCGCTGTTTCACATGAGGTTTTCGTCCGAGCTTTGGAGGCTGACGTCAAACTCAAGGTCTCCAGACTCCTTCGAAGCCCTATCTCAACCATGGGCCTTCAGAGAAGGCGCAACAGGGCGGTCTTCGTGTATATGAGTTAATTGCTATATGAATTATGAATTGTGCTTTTTAAAAATGCTAGATTGCTACAGCGGCCATCCTGTTTTGGGACTCCAAGATTGCTCACAGTGGAATGGTCTCTCAAGCATACTCAAACATTCTAAGTCGACGGTGTCTTTGAATTCCATGCAGCTTTCTTTTGCGCGAAGAATGCCCATCGAAGGAACATGCAATTGCCTTAGAATGTGTGTTGATTGATGTAGCCTTTGCCTTTGTTCCAAAACAGAGGGACCGGACGACGTGGGACGGGACGGCTGTCGGTGAGCAGTCCGAGACGTCCAGGCGACGAAGTCGAGGTGTGGAGCATGTCGCAACATGCCTGGGTTCCGGGCGTTGTCCAGGCGACCAAACGACACCCGAAGGGCGACACACCGAAGACGCGAGATTGACAAATGGAGCTACGATAGGACAGAATCTGAGGAGGTTAAAGAGGTGTATGTGCTTTTGACATGTTTTGACTGTGCAACGTTCACCACTGGGAAACCATGGTGAGTGCATGCCTTTTGCAGTGACGAGAGGCCGTCTTCGCACAGAACAGCATTGCGGACGGATACCAAGTGCCCGCGGGTACGTTGAAAATCTCCATCCCAAGAGGAGCTGTGGGACCCTTCAAACGCTGTTGAGATCTCGATGTCAATTGACCCAATTGAGACCCACTCGTGAAGGACCCAAACTTGGAAGATTTCTCGGTTGTGGAAGTGGTGTCCTTCGGAATTTCAAGTCAAGTCTTGTGAAAACTGTTCTTTGATATTGTACTTATTATATAGCTGGTCTATTTGATATTTCTTGCTTCAATAACTTTGGTCGAGTCAAGAGCGAGGGTTCTTGTTGTACGTTCGAGAGAAATGGCTTCAAGACAGAACTAGTGCAGTTTGGAATATGCTGGAACATTGTGAAATAGTGATTCAGTGTGTGCGGAAGGGTTCACCGTGCGACTTTCCGCATCGCAGGATATAAGTGGATACCCCAAGATTTAATCGGTTCCAACGTCCGAAGAGTGACTTGGTTAGAGATTTGTCGGATGTGTTTGATGGGATCAGCCTATGAGAGTGTGGACAAATGACAACACACGGCACATGCATGTATTTCTTGTGATAAAGGAGATTTAGGCATTGCGGTTGTTGCCCAGAGATGTTGATGCATTTGTCAAAGTGGAAGGCTGAAGCAACTGATTCTTTGAGGCGATGGTGCCAACCTCTAGCATTGCCGAGCAATGCAAGGAGATTGCCAACCAGGCGATGGAATTGTGCCAATCACCAGGGTGTGGCACCGGATGACTTCAACTCGAGTGAGATTGAAATGGCATGAAAAGGACATGGTATGTGTATCACTGATGCCAGCAAGCGCATCCAACTCATCCCTGCTGGTTCTATGCAAATGGACTCAGATGTACTGGCATGGTGTTACTGGGTCCCTCCCCCTAAGGCGTATCTCCTAGCAACAAGGCGTATTGTAGCAGAAGAAGTGAGGCCTCCAGGTCTTTTGCTTGGAGGTTGTTCTATTCACATTCAACCTCCTCAGGTGGAGGTCTTTTTTGCTCACTCCATTCAGTGCTTTGTCAGGGTCGAGTGCTTTTGAGCGCCTCTTTGGTGGAAGAGCCTGACGACCAGCATCCCCCCAGGCGTGTGATGCGAAAGTCGCTGCATCATTTCGGCAGATGGTTCGGTCATGAATTGAGAGCTAAAAGCTGTGGAGTAGATGAAACTGAACAAAGTTTGCTTAGTTTGTTTGCAAAGAAAAGGAGGAATTTTAAGTTGCTTGCATGTGGTCGCGTGGTCGCAGCCGGCGTCGCCAGCGAATCCTTGCTCCAGGTGTAGCCAGTCTCCAGGCAGCGAGATTTCTGACCGCTGCATACGACGCTTGGCAACGGTGGAACCAAGTGGAACGAGGTCGCTCGGTCCAGGTTTCTTCGTGGCGCAGTTGAACCTCACCAGCCGCTCGGGGTGTGTTCTGATGGGCAAATCATGCTTTTCACTGGTCGTGTTTCTTCAGGAAAGCAACTGACCCAGGTCTTAGGTTCACATATCA